GTTGTAGATAAGAAGAACCCACAACCTGTGGGTTGAACCTGTAGGCTTAATAAGCCCTTAAATGATAAAGTATGAAGACGTAGTTGGGACCATGTGCAGTCCATGACTCCTCAGTTGCAGAATTAGCTCAGAATTAATTAAATCAAATCATTATAGGAAAAGGGAAACTTATGCATGTATCTGGAGGTTATCTTTTTCCTATAATGGGGGCGGGTGTGGTACTTAGGCACCCATAGAAGCTAATAGAATTGCTCCTAGTCTTTAGATTTATAACTCAGCCTCTAGCTGCATTTTGGTTATCCACTAGATGAAATACATTTCTGGCTCTGTTTGATATGTGATACATTCTCCATCACTTCGGATCTTTATCAAGACCAAAAGTCTTGCTAAAAGACCTGCTATATCCCAAACACATAGTGCGCTTTAATGGACTGGTTGATTGCAATAACCCATTCACATCTTCAAACTCACAAGTTTATTAAAATGCTCTGCTCTTATTTTTACTTATTCTTTCTACAACCCACACCAGAATTGGGCATGGACCAAAAGAATGAAACTGCTGTGGTTGAATGCCTCGTCATTGGCTTTCCTGGCTCAGTCCTAAAATGCCGAATGTTAACTCCTCTATTTGACTACACTGGTGGGTGACACGTTAATCAATTCCATAGTCTGCATGAGCCACTGCCTTCACAGTCCCATGGTTTTCTTCATTAGCAATTTGTCCTTCTTGAAGAACTGGTTTGCCTCCTCCACCAGCCCAAACTGATGGGGAATTTCATCTCAGGAAGGAAAACCATTTAATTCCATGGCTGCATGGCTCAGTCCTACTTCTACTTTATTCTGGAGATTACAGACATCACTCTCCTGATGGTCATGTCCTTCAATCACTATGTTGTGCTATGCCACACTTTGCCCTATGCCACCGTCATGAGGCCCCACGTCTGCCTCCAACTCCTTTTTGGTTCCTGGTTGATTGGTTTAAAGTCACGGCAGAGGTTGTGTGGCCCTGACATAATTAACCAATTCTATTTGTGATAACTCACCTCTTTTCCTTCACTGACCGACACTAGCCATCTGCAGAGGACGGATTCCATTTTGATATAGACTATGGGGTTGAGGTCCTTGTGCTTAACGGTGATCTCGTACATATGCATTTTCTCCTCCATCCTAAGAATGTGAATGGGCATGGGGAAGCAGAAGGCTGCTTCCACTTGTGCCTCTCATCTCCTGATACTAGCAATAGCCTATCAAAGTGGCATGTTTTGGATGCCCGGCCTACTAGAAGTGTCTCCTTGCATCTCAATAAAATGGGGGCATTGCTGAACACTGTCATATAACCATTCCTGAACCCCTTCATCTACAGCATCTGCAACCAGATGGTGAAGATGGCCCTGAGAGATGTCATTAGCTGAGGAACTACAAAATAGTTGCTCAGGTGTGATGTGAAAGGGAGCTGTTTAAGGATACAAAGTGCATGAGTAGTTTTTGGCACCTAGATCAGGCTTGATTTGGATTACCTTATTTTTCAAATGTATTTATTTATGTAGGTTACTTTGGCAACTAAATTCCATCTAGTTATCATTTAGAGGCACTGACAAGCAGGGTTTGGATTTGGCCCAAAAATCAACATCCAAAGGTTGTTGAAAGAGAGCCTTTCAATGATGCCTAGGAAACAATGATAAACTGAGGTCTAGATTCCTCTTGACTGCAAAGGAGCATAGCCATGATATAGGCAGATGGAAAACTAAATTGATGTCATTCAGGAGTTGAAAGGCCATTTAAGCTTTAGGTTGGTTAGGTGCCTCCATTTTGGCCTGAACAAATCTGTAATTTCCTAGATCTGAGCCTGAACAGAAATGGCCAAGAGCAGGTACCCTGTTCACATAAGCCTTATCTGAAACCTTGTGAGAGCCAAATCTCTGGCTTCCTGGACAAGTGGATTATTTGGCAATGGGTGAATGCCCTCATAAAGTTCTCCTTATTTGCCGTATAGGAAATCTAGGTTTATAACCTATTTATTTGGGGTCATCTTCATGAGACATGGCTGTAAGTGCTGTAAGTGATACGTCTTTGAAATCTGCCTTAAATACCTGAGGTACTTCTTCCTTCAAATAGACCCTGCCTATCAACCTTAAGTACATACTGAGAAGACCTTGCATTTCCACATCTGTTGAGTGAAAGTGGAAATGTGGTGAATTTGGGGTCTTTTGGAGAAGATGACTATCTGTTATGGTTTCTAGTGTGTGATAACTGATCTATGCAGATATTTTTAGGAATTGAAAACTTCATTCATGGAAGGACAAGTTAGTGACAATAAATCTAAAAATATTAATTTAATATTAAGCTTTATTATTTTTTTATTCTTAGACCTGCAGGGTATGGCTATATTATTTAATTTAGAAAAGTGGTTCCCAAACTCTAACAGATTGTACACCACTAATTTCAAATGCTATAACCTTAAGTACCAGCAGTAAATTTTTGTCATATAAAGTAATATAATAAATCTGTTAATATGTACTACTGACAGGTTGTCTGCATACCAGTGGAGGTACCCGTAACACAGATTGGGAACTGTTGATTTAGAAAATTATTTTTACAGCAGCATACTGTTAAGCAGAAATGTCTAAGAATTTGCAAATCATGATTAGACTATGTGAAATATAGTTTTCTAGTAAATGTGCTGTTACTAAATAAATAAAGTTTGTTGGGCGGAGGGGGTAGAGTTCAAAGTTCCCAGACATTTCCTAGTGCAGTGGCACGCATTGTTATTTGCTAAAACACAGAAGTCTTAATAAGTCATCACCTGGGAATTAACTGGGGAAACTCCAGAGACAAATGTCCCAGGGATGTTGAGAAATCTCTCTCTCTCTCTCTCAGTGAAAGGGTGCCCACTTGTCTAATTATTTTTTTCTCATTTGCCTTCTATGAAGACATAAATGTCTTCCTAGCTCTATAGTTTCTTGTGTAGCAACTCTAACGATGATATCTGAACATTGCCTCTGCTCACACAATATTCCTTTTGCTTTTTTCTCCTGATACTGAGAAGAGGGAGACATGGGAGTGGTTTTCTCCCATACCCCACTTCTTTTTCCTAAATGTGTGATTTGGTGAGGTTTCTGTAGGGCAAAAGAAGTAGGATTTACAACTTTGGAAGGCTCTGGATTGTGTGGCCACCTTGACCAATTCCAGGGGTCATTTACCAGTTGCTGAAGGACCAGTCTCCTACCCCTGAACATCTCAAAAGTGAGGCTGCATGTTCCCACACTGTGGTGAGTAAAATTGTGCTTATTCTTAGGGACTGTGGGGGCAGGTTGGACGTTGGTTTGTACACAGCAAACAAAATACGCAGACTGATAATTCACAAATTTTTCCACACCAATGTGATAATACGCAATTGGACGTTACAAAAAAATCAGATGCTGGTTTGCTTCTGGTTTTGCATTACCTGGCAAACATGTTCCTCTGCTTCCTGTGCAATTTAAACATGGGATCACTGTTCCTGTGTTAGAAGCCGACTGTTTTGTTTTTTGCAACTTCAGTGATGTGTACAAAACACACATCCATCTTACCTAGGGGTTTTGCTGAGTGGAAAGCACTCGCCTTGCTTCTGTAGACCATGGGAAAGTACTGTGATAAGTCCCCATCATAATACAAGAGGTCTGTCTCTAGTTGGCTCTTTGATGGGGCTGGACACAGGCATGGGTGAACTGGGCAGCTGCCTGGGGCCCGGACAGAAAGGGGGCCTGAAAATGGTAATTTTAATTAGTATTATTATCATTATCTCTGTCAAAGAGTGGAATGATACTAAAGGATTGCCTGGGGCTGCCAGGAGTGTAGGTAGGGTGCTGCTCTTTGGGATAGTTTATTTGGTTTGTTTTCTATATGTCTGATATACCACTATTATATAAGGTGGGAGTCAGAAATCTATCCAGTTATTTTTATTTTCCCAACTCTCTTTCACTGGAAGTTTGACTCCTGTTCCATCGACACATCACTGAGATGATTTTATTATCCTCAAAACATTAGAAGGCTAAGCAAGAAGTAATGGGTTCCAGCTGCATGAAGGGAGAGTTATACCGATATTAGGAAGAACATCCTAAATGGTTAAGCACTATATAAGATGAATAGAGAGGTTATAAAATCCCTCTGTATGGAAATGTTAATTCCAGTTAGACAAACACTTTTCTGGGATTGTTTAGAAGAGATGATCCTGGCTTAAGCTGGAAATTGGACTAGATGACCTCCCAAGGTTCCTTCAAGCCCTATTTTAATATGATAGTATGGTTTTATTCAAGGAATTATCTTTTAGAAGAAACAGAAGGTTTCTATAACTGATAAAGCCTCATAGATTTAAGACCCAATCAGATCAGTCTGGAGACTAATATAACTCTAATCACCATAGCACCCAATTATCTTCCCCCCCGCCACTCCCCATAAACATTAGCAGCACTAAATATCCATTGAATATAGAGGTAGTAAAACCTGACCTTTAGTGGCATGATTGATAAGTAGACAGGTAAATACATGGGATCAGGATTTGACAGGGATATAAGGATTTGATATAAATAAAATAGTTCTCAATAAGCGAGGTTTCTACTGGAGTGGTTATGCATATCTGTCCATTCATGTATCCGGAGGTACAGAGAAATAGCTGAGTAACTATTCCCTTATCTATTTAGCTAACAAGGAAAAGACACATTAATAAATGAATACTGTAACAGAAACACTGAGCTTTTTTTGTTGACTGTTTTTCATGTATTAAAGTCCTAAATCTTTGTCTTTCCATGTCTCTGTCTAGATAAATATATATTTATCCAGACACCTGTTGGTCCATGCAGGATGCATGGATGGATAGATAGCTGGCACGGAATAAAAAGCTGCTGTGATACAACCCTAATCTTTTTTTCGGACTCTGGGTGCAGAAGGTATGAGCTAATCTTTTGTCACTCTTGCTCTTCCTGTAGCTCCAACGTGGGAGGGAAGAGAGAAGCCATGACGTCATGAAGAATAACACAGTGTTGACTGAATTCATCCTCCTGGGCTTTCCATTGCTTCAAGGTCTGCACAGTGTGCTCTTCTCAGTTGTTCTGCTCATGTACATCCTAACCATCCTAGGTAATGGCCTCATTGTTTTTATTGTGAGAGCCACCCACAAGCTTCACACACCCATGTACTTCTTCCTGAGCAACCTGTCCTTCCTGGAAATCTGGTACACCACGACTGTGGTACCCAAAATGCTAGAGACTTTTGTGGCCACCAAGGCAACAATCTGCATCTACTGCTGCCTGGTCCAGGCATTTTTCTACTTCTTCCTGGGCAGCACAGAGTTTTTCATCCTCACAGTGATGTCCTTTGACCGTTATTTGGCCATATGCAAGCCCCTGCAGTATGCCACCCTCATGACCAACAGGGTCTGTTTCCAGTTGGCCTTTGGTGCTTGGTTTGGTGGTTTCATGGCCATCTTCTTTCAAACTATTCTGGTCTTTCAGCTGCCCTTCTGTGACTCCAACGTCATCAACCATTTCTACTGTGACATCGGACCAATCTTAAAAATAGCCTGCACAGACACCCACCTCATTGAGCTGCTAGGGTTTGTTGCTGCTGTCACGGTCATCCTCAGCTCTTTGCTTTTCACTGTGGTGTCTTACATCTATATCATTGCCACCATCCTAGCCATCCCTTCTTCTACAGGGCGCCGAAAAGCCTTCTCTACCTGTGCATCCCATCTGATTGTGGTCTCTATATTGTACGGGGCTGTTCTTTTCATGTACCTGAGGCCCAATGTGCATTCCTCCTCTGGTCTCAACAAGGTGGTGTCTGTGCTAAACACAGTCTTGACTCCTCTCCTGAATCCTTTCATTTACACAATAAGGAACAAGGAGGTGAAAGAGGCCTTCAGAAATATACTGAGCAGAAAAAGGATCTAGGTGAGCCATGAGAGTTTTTCTGGCATGGAAAATAGTGGTTTCCAAGGCTGCCATTGTCTGAGGAGCATAAGGGGTGGGACATCTTACGCCCATGGTATTGGAGTGTCTACCTCCTTTGGGATGCGTGGGATTTCCACTAGATACGTATCAAGGGGACCAAGACATCTCCAAGTTGTTCATAGCAGACAAAGTCCACACTCTCTGCAGAGGGACAGCAATCATCCATTATTTCCAGCTGATGCTTTTCTCTGCATACCTGGAGTTGCTTTGTTTCAGGGACCATAGGCAGCATGGATACATTGGCAAGGGATATGGGGTAGCAGAGTCCCTGAAGAGTATATGCGCTGGTAGAAAGCCCTAATGAAAACACCTCTATTCTACAATCTGATCTTCACTCATAGGGGTGGTTATACTCTCCCACTGCATCTCCATTCACTCTGGTATTCCTTTGCCCAAGATACTAAAAGTTCTCATATAGTGATGTTCAGAGGAATAGCAAACACAGAGAGTGCATGGGACAGGGGGGCTCCCCAGGAGTGGGAGTAGCACCATTTGACTTGCCTCCCAAGATGTACTATACGGTGCAGCATTGCACTGCCTGAGTCCTGTGGCTGGGAAGGAGCAGCGAAGGGCTTCCCCCC